TTTTAAATCGCTCCTCCTTACTGCTTACTGTTGTGGAGAAACTGCCATAATAAATCAAATGTAACGATCAAACAATTCACTAACTTATCTTGGAAGGAGAATTGCTTTAGAATCGTCAATTTAGATTTGTGCCAACAAGTCGTTGATGCAACGATCTGCGACCCCGATGAATCCGTGCTGTGTTTTCGTTTATCATGTGACAGATCACCAGAGCAGGGATCCAGGCTGAGTTTTGATTCGTTAAGCACTAAGACAAAAACCTGTTCTCCTCTGACGAAATATGAGAAATCATGAAAAAGGGAAGATTTATTGGCACAAATCTACAGAAATAACTCCAAGGTAATCCTCCTTCGGCTTCCGTTAAGACTAATTTATTAGCTCCTTCCGCTCACCTCGTCAAGCGAAATGAAAGTTACACCAATACAAAGATATATTATATTCGTAATAATGATGTTTCGAAGAAAAGCTAAGTACATACAAAAACAGTCTGAAAATGAAAGAACAATGGTCATCTGAAATACTGAAGCTATCGAATGTGCCACTTACCGACCTATAATGTTATTAACTTGAAAATTGACAGAAAGCAACATGATCGAATTAGAGATACTTAAATTTAATTTTTTAAATATTTTTAAATAAAGCGAACTAACTCTTGCTCCTTTGTTCATAACTAGCATTGCTCGACCTTCCGGCACAAGACGTTTGAACATATCTTGGAAGTTCTTAGAAACCTAAATTTAGAGGAAAAGAGTAATATCAAGATAATTGACTCAAAAATAAGACGAGGCATAATCCAAAGTAAATCCCTTTCGATAACCTAGCATACTTGTTTGAAGGTGAGCTGAATAGCTTCATATTTCTGCATATCGAGGGCATTCATTAGATCAATTATGGCTTGATGACCCTTGTCTAATTCCTCTTTACGTTTCAGGAGTTTCTCTTTTTCCTCCGAATGAGAGACAAATTGATCCAATGCCTTTTTGTTTACGTGGCTATAGCGCTTGAGCTCACGATTCGCTTTATCCAAAAGTTTGAAAAGCTGTAAATAGAAAAAAATGAAAATGATTCTGGATTCGATTAGCGGTTGGGTAGGAGATAAGTAGG